ATCTATTGGACATCAGTATTCCCGATTGTACTTAGATGTCAGGCTTTATGATTCTTAATGTGGCTGTAAAGATCCATGGAGACGTATTGTCAACTTTAGTTTTTTTCTGTTATTCCACTTAGCAATGATTAAGATCCCTTCCATGAGATACAGATGATAATTTACCATCTTTTATCACAGCATGAAATTGCTATTTAGGGCTCTTTTGTCCAGTTCATCTTTATTTCATGCAAGATAACTGAGAAGACCTCCTAATTTGCTTTTAACATCAAAATGATTGTCAGCCTTAAAAAAAAAATATAGAAGAGAGAAAATTGAAGTGAGAAATCAACTCATAACCTTTTTCTGTGAATGCCACACTTCCGTGAAAGGACTGAACTTTCTTAATGTTTCATTTTTTAACTTAAAGCATGACAAAAATTTCCTATCAGTATTTAAACTGCTAAGATTTGTCAAACACAAATGACAAAATAGTGTTTAAATAGCAGTTTCATTTTGTCCTTAATGATTATGGGAGGGTTTTTTTTTGCAAAGAGGACCTGAGCAGTAATAGATCATCTCCTCGCTGAGTGACAGGAATTCTTTACTGCGCCTCGTGATTTCAGGTAGAGCACAAATGTGTGCCCACATCTGTTCAGAGCTGGCAAAGGCCAAATTCTATCCATGGTGTAAATAGTGGGAATGCCACCAGCCTCTAGATTGGTGCACGGCTCATACCTCCCCCCCTGCTCTGCCTTGCCCTGCGACTTCCTATCTCCCATCTCGGGGGGACCGGCAGCACTATCCATGCTCTCTCCTCAGTGCCCTGTGCAGTGGTAAAGGCAGCTGCCCTGCCTGGTGATGGATTGTGGGTCCACACTCTTTGCCGTGCCTGGCAAGCACTGCTTTCTCACCAGAGGCTCCTCAGCCTCCTGTCATCCCCGAATCTGGGACTCTGGGCATCGGGTTTGGAGGTATGTGAGATAGTTGCTGTCTTGCATTTGTTTCCCTGTGTTAGAAAATATTAGCTTGCTTGACTTTTCAGTAGGAAGGTACAGCAGACCAGTGGGTTAAAATAGGATGTCCAAATTGCACCTGAGAGACAGAAAGATGGGGATTTGATGGGTCACCTTTCCATGACAACAACATAAAGAAATAGCTACTGTTGAAATGAAAAATTGGTTGTTCTTGGCCAAGAACCAAACACCCACCCAGCCTTTTGCAAACTCCACTCTCTCATGGGACCAGGAGGAAACAGAAGGAAGGAAAGACTAATGGATTGAAATAACGACAGTTCATGCTCGCTTGGCAAGACAAATGCCATAAACCCAACTGTTTCCCCCTTCTGCTTCTTTCCCTGAACTTTTACTGCTGGGCACAGTGTCCTATGGTAAGAAACACTCCCTCCATCGCTGAGGACACCTGTCCTGGCTATGTCCCCTTCCAGCCTTTTGCCCACCTCTAGCTTACAAACTTTAGATTTAGCAACCATGTTTTAGCCACAAATGCAAAACAAGACAAAGGAAGTTGACTCCTTGCATCACATGCCTGGATATATATGCCTGTTCTGAGGTGAGGGTTTCTGTTTGACTTGATGTTTTCCAGACTGTCTTTTCCACAGGTGAACTGATGTTCTTAATTTACCATATGTGAACCCATCGTGTCTTCAGAGAAGTCAGGGGAATTATCTGAATAGTTTGTGTGCAATAAAACTTAGGTCCTTGTATTAATACTGTGCTGCAATGATAAGTATATTTATTGCTCTACTTGGAGATACCCTGTGGATTATAACTTCCTGTATGTGGAAGATTTGAATGCACTGTCTTACTTGTTAAACACCTTTTCTTAGAGCGAATCAAACGATTTTTGATAGAACAATCTTCTCTGAATGTGTTTCAACAAAATTAGAATATGTTAGAGTACTGGCAGATTTCAAATACATTATAACTGAAGAACTACTAAATAATTTACTTCAGCACTTCCATCTTCTGAAACATTTATTTAGATTCAACTATTAGATTAGATCAGATAAGATCACATCAGCTGATATCTAGTCTGATAATTTGCTACTGCCTGGGCTGATTTTTTCAAGACTATCTTGATTTCTACTAATAAAATGTTTTGAAAACTTACTTTCAAAAAATGCACAGAGATTTTAATTGTCATCACAATTCGGAGCAAAGCATTTCTAAATGCATTGGACTGCCTGTTTTTCTGACTAGCAATTTATTACTGCAGAACTTTCACAGTCAGTCAATAACATTATTTCCCACATTTTTTTTTCTTTCTTATACATTGGAATTTGCCCTGGGTGCTACAGCATAAGTCAATTATACTGCCCAAATGTAACTCTTTTTGGTTTCTCTGGGAAATTGAAATGACAGAAAAAAAGGCCAGAGTTCAGAAAAAGAAAACCAATCTAGCACAATTTTGTTTCATCTGTACAGATTTTGCATTATCTGAACAGCAGTTATCACAGAATCACATTGTGCTTTTTACCAGCTTTGCCCAAAAACTGTACAAGCACAGATAAATCTACTTCTAGTCTGAATGACATTAAATTGAAAAGAAGGTAAAACAAATCAGTTTTTGTCTCTTATGGGCGTGTATCGTAACAAATGCAACAAGACATTACAAGATTTGTTTTACAAGATGTCGTTAGTAAATTGTTTGCAGAGATCTAAGAGGGCTTCTGCCAAATTTTATATTAAAACCACAGGGAATTGGTATTCATTTGAGTGTTTGATGTGGAAAATCTGTCTGTGCCATCTTTGAAAAGAGTGTATTGAGGTCCTTGCTACTTCTTGGAACGATGGTGAAGAACAGACCACAAATCTACAACTTTAGTACAGAAAATAATGACACAAATGGCAAATGATTCATCTTGCCATGGTTGGCTGAGATTCTTGTGCTGGAAAGAATTCAAATCTTCCTGGAGAATGTACTAAGATAAGACTGTTTCTAGCTTTGCATCTTCTGTGAATCACTTCATATCTGCAAGTTTCTTTTCTAAGCTCCACAAAACCAGTGAGATATTGACAAATTGGATGGCTCACAGATTGAACAAATTCTTGAAAGGGAATTCAGAACTGAAAAAGAAGCCTTGAGGGAAATGGTTTGTGAACATAAGTAAAATTATATTTTGTCTTAATGCTGACTAAGATGAAATATGAAACACAAATTTGTAAAATCCTTCCAAGGGCATGGGACTCATTAAAAAAAGAGACAGCATAAGGACACTTTCAATACAGACAGCTCCAACTGCCCAACAGGGCTAATGAGGGTTTGGAAGTGCTCTTTCCTTCCCCTAGCACTGCATGCACTCAGCAACCATGATTTTGAAAATTATTTCTTCTTTCAGTGGCCACTCTTCTCATACGGAGTGGAGTTTTAATCTGCTGCTTTGGACATGCAGCAATAAGGCTGCAGGGCCAGTATGCTTTATAAAGCTGGTCTGGACCTGGGTTAAAGAATGCAGGAGTAGTTTCTCAGCACGGTAGAATGGGATGAAATTGCTACAGGCGTTTCTTACAATTCTACACTGAGTACAAGAAAACTGAACTGAACACTGAGCTGGGTACACTGAGCTCTCCTCCCCTTCAGAATGTGGTTAAAGCAATAATTCTTGGCTCCTGTAGCTTAGTTTCTTATAAAAAGTATATTTAAACATTCTTCCTTGTGGTTCTGCTTGGAAAGAGCTTCTCTAAATAGACTACAGCACTTTGTTTAAATCTGATGAGTGCCACAGTCAAGAAGTCTGACTGACAAGGCAGCTGGTATGCTTGGTCTAGTGTGCATCTTTCACATCCCAAAGTCAATCACGCTCCTATTTTCCTTCATACTCAATATAACTGCTGTGATCTAGGGGATTTATAAACCATGTTTTGTGTTTGTAAAACACTGTTGGTGCAGGACTTAAAATATGGAAGACTTATCCTCACTCCAGATACAAAGCAGATTAAGAAAATAATAACAAATTTATCTGAGAAGCAGTTTAGTTTCAACCAGAGGTCTAAAAGACTTTCAGGTCAACTTTTCGACTTCTAATGTCAGGAGAGGATTACTTATTCTTTTCATATCAGAAAAGGGAAGAATAAGTTGCTCATCCCAGAAATCTTAGCTGCATTTAGGCTCTGTGGTTGGAAAAGATCCATCAGAAAATCCTGTCTCCATCCTGCTGTCTTGCAATATTCACAACTGTCCCCATTGAATCCAGCTAATGTAATTGTTGAAAGGAAGGAGTAAGACAAGCCTGGATGAATTATGCATTCCTCCCGCCTCTGGGCTTATCCCCTTATTTCTATGCTCGATCCACTGCTCCATGTGTCAGAGTGAGAATGAAGTTTATGGAAGCATCTCCACTGCTGACATCCTCATAAATACCGAGATGCCCCAGCTGAGGTGTGCTCGCCAAAGAAAGAAACACCATGTACAACTGCTTCATGAAAGCACTAAGGATTTCCACATAGTATGTGTCAACCAGTTAATTCTTAACAGGAGCGAATATCAAATTTTGGCCCTGCTGATAAGTATAAGTATTTCCCAAGGCTAGAGCAGAGCAGAACTAAAATTACACATGCTCTGGGTTTGATATTTTTTTTTATTGTAAAGGAAATGGACTGAGATTTTCTTCTGTTGTCAACCTAAAACAAGGTTTATGATAGCCTTGTACTACAGGAATTTGGTGTTTCCAGACTTAAGAAAGCAATTAATAAATAATACCATTTTTATTGATAAATAACCCCCCCTCCATCGAAAGGAAACACAAAATCAGAGGCCTGCATTTCATCCTGTAAACAAAGCAACATAGGGACGTATTTACAAATAAATCTTTAACTCTGTTGCGAATATTTTTGTGTGAACTTACTTGAGGTGTAAATATTTAATGCTTCTTTTCACTGCATTACTATTTATTTTTCTGCGTGCGAGTAAAGTCATCCTTCAATATTGTGAGCCAGGTAAATAATGTATTACTTAGTCATGAAAAATGCCAGAGGAAAATAAATGAGAGGATATCTTACCTTTGGTCATCACAATGCCTGCAAGAGTTTTGTGGCGTGCATGCATGGAAGTGAAATTGTCTGTCAGTTCCTGGAACTTCTGTGCAACCATTTGGTATACGGAGTCAGCAAAATCCTGAAAGACATAGTCAGAAAGAATTTTTTCACTTCTTTGACTGAGGAATCTGGGCGTTTCTGCAGATTGGCCACCTGCTACCAGTGGCTGAGAGGTCCCTTTCAGAATTAGACACCACCTACCTGAGCAAAGTTAAAATGAGTATCTCTCCTTCTCTACCTACAGCACTCCCAGAAATGGCCAAATTAACTGCACTAAAGCTAAGAGACCTATATTGACTAGGATTGGGGGTAAAGGGAGAAGACTTCAAGTCTGGCCTTTTTTTCAGTCTCTTAAGACACTGGTCTAGGATCAGTTCACAGGAATTTAAAGAACTTTATTGTAGTGAGCTAAAGAGGTGGACATGTGTCCTACCAAAAACACTTATTTTTGTGAGCTCACTGAAAATTTCCATTAGCCCACTGACACCTTCGAGTGAGTTGAGGGCCTGATTTATAGGTAAGGACCACCTATTTCAGCATTCAAGGTGAGTTTTCAATGACTCACAGTTACTGTTTAAGGTAAAGTGATCAGCTCAGGAATTTGTCGGACGACTACCATGATCTGTCCTTCTTCTACCTTGAGAGTCACTGGGAAGAAGGGAAGGTGAACCTCTGCTTGCACATCCTACCAAAGATGCTGCTTGCAGTTCACAGTTATGCAGTAGTGCTGAGGGACTGGTCTGCCATGTCTCCTCCCGAGCACAGCAGCTTTTTTGGAAAGGTAGGTTTTCCTACGGACTGGGCACTAGAGACTGTGTGGTCTGAACCCTCAGGTATGAGTGAGTCCAATCACCAGGGAGAGTCTTGGGAAGCTGGTTACTAAAGCAAAGCAGGTTAAAAAGGTCTAAGAAGTGAATTCTGCAGATTGTGTATGGATGAATGGGAACCTAAACCAGCTCCGGGGCTCCTGAGAGCGCCATGACTTGGAATGATTCCCTGCCGCAGTGTTTCTTATCTTTTCATTTACTTAATCTCTGCCCTTTGTTTGGCACTGAGCCTCTCAAGCATACATTAGAGATAAGTCAGTGGAACACTCTTTGTGAGCATGAGTTGTTCTTAAAGTGCTTTGCAAGTCTGAACATAAAAAGAACCAACATCCAAAGGATTTTTTTTTAAGCCATATGATTTCTTGTGGGGAACCAATCTTGTAACTACAAATCATTCTGGAAGCAGTTCCTGGGAGCTGGAGCTTACTCTGGAATGCTTACAGAGACCTCCTGACATCCCGAAATCTGGTCAGCCCTTTGTTAGGAAAAGTGGCCTGACCAAGCAACAATTCCAGTTTTTCTTCTGGTGTTGGGATATGCTACCTTAGGAGGCTCTGGTAAAACAGGCCTCCTTGAGTTCACCTCGTTTCCTTAAGTGGGTTCATGGCACACACAGAGGACATGTTGAGTCTGATACACAACTTCCCTCACCCTGAGATATCCACAGCTATGCAGAAATAAGGAAATGTATTTAAGAAGATCATATCCATTCTTTTACTCTCCAAACTGCTAATGGCAAAGAAAGCATGTTGGGGAAAACACAGTATTTTAAATTGGGAGAACACACAGCTATTTTTCAGAGGAAAGCAGGTTGTAATTCACAAATATCAGCAACGTTACCATCATTAAGTGCATCTGCAGGCTGTACACCATATGTTTCTACAGTTTGTTGTGGAAATTCAGTTTAATTTTAAAACATTATTACGGTAAATATAAAAAAAAATCTAATTAAATAAAACATAACAGCAATTAGGCAACCCCCTTTTCATAAAACCTGGAATATTTTTTCTGTGTACAATCCTTGCAAGTGATTGCAATTTGCTCAAACACATAGATGATAGGATTTCTTTGACACAATAATTTTTCTTAGTTTTGCTAAATGTAGCTTTCCAAAATATTGTTCTGGGAACAAATCATTTGCTCAAAAAACAGTTTAATATAACATGGAATAAAATATGCTGGCTTGTTTCAAAAGAAGAAAAGAGGCATATAAACACTTCCTGGGAGATTCATGCAAAATTCTATACGAGCATAAACTAAGAAAAATTATCAAGAACAGCTTGACAGTTCCTAAATGGAATTTCACTTTCACTGCATTTATACTTCTTCTAATCTAATTGTCCACAATCACTATGTGAGCAAGGTATTGTTAATACAGTGCTTCTGAAGGATGAATTTTGGGTCAATTCTCATTTGTCAAGCATCAAGGCACCCTTGTGATATAAATGCAATTATGGTTGCTTTACAGATGAATGAGTGAAGGCACTAAAAGGGTGAGGGACTGGTCCAGGGGAATAGCACGGAGCTGGGCACAGCCAGGTGTTCTGATTTCCTGATGCTCTGGTTAAATGCTCAGCACTGGAACACTGCCTGTCTTTCATAATATGAAAGTTTGTTTCTCAACTTGTTTTCCTTACTGAACAGTGACCTCATCCATAACGGAAAACTAAAGTGTATTTGCAGAACTGATATAACTGGGCCCCATATGGTGGACTGAAAATCTGATCAGCTTTATTTAAACTAGAAAGAAAGACGAAGGGGAAAAAATGAGTATCTCAATAAAGCTATCGGCACCATCATTTAAAAAAAGAATCAAATCATAAATTTCATCTCCTGCAGTATTGCAGTCCAATCCATGCCTGCATTTCTAGAGTACCCTCCAAATCTGCATCCCAGGGCATTTTGCGCTCATTAAGAGTTAATTAGCTTAGAGGCACATACAATTCCTAAAAGAATCATTTTAAAAATGCTAAACAGAACAAATAACTTTTAACTTTGGATTTAGAAATCCCCACAGTCATAGCTTTCTTTACTTCATTTGGCAGTAGGTTCCAAAGCCAGAGAGCAAAGAGACTCACTAAAGGCAAAATAATGACATGGCTTCAGATAACATTTAAGGACAATAACAAATTCAGCATTTGCTGATCTCAAGGAGTGACCTGGGACATTAAAGAACCGCAAATCCATTAAACATGAAGCTTCTTAGCTAAAATAAGTCAGGCGAACATTTTTTTGTCTTTGCCTAAAAGAAGCCAGTGAAACTAATTGAAGCAAAGGAGTGACATACATGAATACATGTAGGATGCTGGAAAACCAATCAGAAACAGTGCCTAATCTAAGAGGTCATTTCCAGGCTATCGTATTGCCCTAAATTTCCAAATGGGTATTCCAAAGTAAAGTGGAAAGGGGGAAAAGGAACAGTTTATTTTAAAGACAGAAAAAAAAATAAGAAGAGAAGAGATCCATGGCTCTACCCTGAAGAGATTTGATGCCCTGAAGACTGATCCTTGTAGTGTAGCATTAATTTCGGGGCTTTGAATACTCTGGCCCTGAAAGCTGGCCTGGTGGCAGAGCTGGGTATGGTGTCAGGTTCCTTACCTATACTTATACACACAGCACCCTGCCTTGCCCTCTAGAGCACACCAGAGCAGCTATTTGGCTCGACCTTGTTCTGAGCAATGAAATCAGTGACAGCATTTTTGCTTATTTAGAGCCTTCAGGCTGTTTCTCCTTGCTTTTGTGAAAGCCAGACTGGTTACAAATATATCTAATGCACACAGGAGAAATGTGGTGGAGATGAGTCAGTACATTTACCCCTGCTCAGTTTAGAACCACAGATTTGATTCCAGAGATTTTCTAGCTTTACTTTTAAACAATCATCTCAGACTACTAAAAGATACATATACAGATGGTCATTCCTGACGGGATGTAAAGCATAAAAATCCAACTATTTACAGCTATTGTGAGCCTCACTGAATTTTCAGGATACAGGCTAGACTACGTTATCTGCTGTCAGAAATAGCTGACAAACCATACACAAAAGGAATGGTTCTTTTGTTCTATCAAAACAATCTCAGAGAAAAGTTGTGTTTGGTGAAACCACAGTTCCTACTGCCAGATATGAGTGAAAATAAAAGTCTCCATCTGGAGCAAATACAAGAGCCAAATACATCTTGGCAGCTTCTGAACAGCTATCAGGTTGGTAGAAGACAAAGGGAAAATTTCTGAAGATGGGGGAAAAAGAACTGTCTTTCACAAGGAACTTTCCTCGTGAAAGAGAAATTCAGTGCATGTGATTGCTCTGGTCACATAATGGCAGAGAAATCACAGCTCAGGGCAGGGTTACAGGGGTGAAAAAAATTAAAAGATACAGTTAGAACTCTAAAAATTTTTGCCAGGACATATGGTAGAACAGATACTCAAATGTAACTTGAGTGCTGGAATTAGGAGGGACTTCTGCTTAGGGCATTAATCCCCTTGGAAAACTGCAGTCTGATACAAATCACCACTGCAGCCAGTGGAAGTATTCCTGATTCTAAGATGTTCCAGACAAGGCTCAAGTGGCAAGGATGGGGCTCAAGCATGCCCATGCCCTGGCCAGGCAAGGTGAGCTCAGCCATACTGGCTTTGGGGTGGAAGGGGTGGTATTGGGAGTAAAAACCACGACTATGGGGAAGAACTGACCTTCCAGATGCTGAGTTATTTTCAAATCCCCTCCTTTTGTTTGCCTGCTGTCAAAATCTTACCTTTCACAGGTCCTCACATGGATTCTTCTCTACAAACAATATTTGTCTCAGGGAGAATTTCCTTGAGATCAAACCTTTGCTCAGTCTAGTGAATACAGTGAGTGATATGAGTAAGGCAAAGTAGACTGCTGGACCCCCACTGAGGGGCAAATCAGCCCTCGGTTGCACTCAAACCTTGCACATTGACTAAAGGCTTACTGTCACTGGTGGAAGTAAGTTTCTTGTTCAGGCAGCGGGCAGAAGAAAGAAAATGTAATGCTATCCTGTTCACTGTGAAAAAAGACTGCAGTACTTAATGAGCTATATTTTAACACATACAGGGAGGCTGGAAAAATGAAAAATAGATGTCATTACTATTAAAACTGCACTGTGTTGTCTGAAGTATTCATCTGTCCTTGATTACCATATCAAATTACTTGTGTTATTCACAAAGGAAAATCAAACTTTAGATCACACATTACAGAACCAGAAACTTTTAGTGATTTCTTGGCACTAATATTTCAAAT